TAGAGTCGGCCCACGGACCAAAGAGTCACAGGTTCGATTCCGGTCAAGGGCACGTACCTCTGTTGCCATTAGGGCTCCAGCCCCGGTTGGGGTCATGCGGGAGGCAACTCATTGATATGTCTCTCTCACATAGATGTGTCTCTCTCACATCAATGTTTCTCTCTCACATCTATGTTTCTCCCTCACATTGATGTTTCTCTCTCTCCCCCTCCCACTCTATCTGAAGATAAATAGAAAAATATCCTCGGGTAAGGATAAACAAACAAAAACAAAAACAAACAAAGAAAGTTTGGATTCTTCATCTGTATAATAGGAGACTGAACTGAAATGTTTCTTTTTTTTTTTTTATCCTCACCCGAGGACATTTTTCCATTTTTTTGTTCAGGTAGAGTGGGAGGGAGAGAGAGGAAGAGAGAGAGAGAGAGAAACATCGATGTGAAAGGAACACATCGAGTGGCTGCCACCTGCATGACCAACCAGGGCCGGGGACAAACTGCAACCGAGGTACGCGCCCTTAGCGGGAACCGAACCCGGGTCTCTCAGGACCACAGGCCGACGCTCTAACCGCTGAGCCAAACCGGCCAGGGCTGACGTGTTTCTTTAGGACCTTTCTAGCACTAATGGATTCTTGAACTCCATTTATTTACCCTGGGAAAACACAAAACGAGTCGCAAGGTAAGGGCTCAGAACTGAGTACTTGGGGAAAATAAAAGGAGGATCATTTTGGGAATGCCTCAAAAGGGTTTATGGCTGCATTTGCTCCTGGTTTAGGAGACCTGAAATCCATGAGCCAACGCAGTCCCTGGGTCAGTGACTCTCAAGAAGGCTCACTCCATTGAGAACAAGAGTGGATTTATTTTCATAGAGGGTGAAACCAAAATAGTCTGAGTGATGAGCCCAGGTCTTGGGCTACTCTCTGGTCACTTTCCCAAGACAGTGTGCTTTCTAGATTTTCCCTTCCAGACCTAAAGGAAAAGAGAACATGAAATAAAAAGCAGATGACCTGGAAAACATTAAACTATTGTTTCCAGGTTTTCCAAAGACTAGCTCCAGAAGATGTTGCATATGACATGTTTTCAAGGTGCAAAATGAGGAAAACCAGAAAATCCATCTCTCTTTTAGAGCTTTAACATTAGCATTAAAAAAGCTCAGAAAGGTCCCCCTGTACAGAGACCTGTACATGTCTTCTTAACCTAGCACTTCCTAACTTATTTGGCCAATGAACACATACTCAACACAAATCACCAATTGTCACTATATGATCTGTAAATATACAGAAGTGATCACTTGTGTAGACGTGCGGAAAGATCATTCTGCCCGCACTGTGAAGAGACCATCCCTCTCCTCTTAACCTATGCCCTTTGGTAACTCCTTTTCCTAACTGTCTCATTCGGCAAAGGCTTGGTTTTCAGTGCAGTATCAGACAGCCTGATCCCAGTAGTTTTTGTCATTCCAGATTTTGATGTCTCACCTCAAAATGGCCTAGCATAATACTTGTTGCAAGTCATGGATACTCAGACACTTGTGATGACCCTGTAACTGACTATTACAAAATATTTAATCATTTTAGTCAATCAAATGTAAAGGCCCAAGCTGATCATTTCTACATGGTATAATTGACATCAATAGACCGTTGATTTTGTAGGATACTATCCAATGATGCACATCCAAACTTTCATGTACTGGTGAGAGATTGCAGCAAGTCTAATCTTTGTTTAAATATAAACCCAGAACCCTGGCTGGTTTGGCTCGGTGGTTAGAGAGTCAGCCCATGGACCAGAGAGTCCCGGGTTCGGTTCCCACTAGGGGCATGTACCTCGGTTGCAGTTTGTCCCCGGCCCTGGTTGGGGTCATGTGGGTGGCAGCCACTCGATATGTCTCTCTCACATTGATGTCTTTCTCTCTCTCTCTCTCTCTCTCTCTCTCTCTCTCTCTCCCTCACACTCTGTCTGAAGATAAATGGAAAAATGTCCTCGGGTGAGGATAAAAAATAAATAAATATAAACCCAGAGCCCTGGCCAGTTTGACTCAGCAATTCAAGCATCGGCCCATGGACCAACGAGTCAAGAGTTCAATTCTTGTCAGGGGCACATACCTCGGTTGCGGTTCAGTCCCCGGTCCTGGTCAGGGTCGTGTGGGAGGCAGCTGTCGTGTCTCTCTCACATCGATGTCTCTCTCTCTCTCTCTCTCTCCCTCCCCCCCTCCCTCCCTCATACTCTGTCTGAAGATAAATGGAAAAATATCCCCAGGTAAGGATTTAAAAAACAGAAACAAACTATATATATATATCTCCAGAGTAAAAAGAAGCTGCAGAAATCCTTGTTCAAAGCCAGTATACACAAATCAGGGTCAGCAGTTAAAGGCACAGGGTCATCAGCCTAGTGACCTCCTTCACCCTTGGAAGCTGGTTCAGCTCCAGATAAGCCCCAGCGGGGAGGAAGAATGAGTCCAGACCAGAGTGGTCTGGCCCAGCTCCAGGCCACTCCCAGCGGGAACCCCAAGTGACAAGGTCACCGCCAATAACAAGTAGAAGATACAGATGGGCATAGGTAAGCCGTCTTAGCCATATGCACGTGTTTATCAGAGTCAATAAGAACAAAGTATTTAAGATGAAAAATGTTGGTGAGGACCAGCGTGTAGGTGGAGAAATTGGATCCTTCGTACAACTGTTGTGGGAATGCAAAATGGCACAGCCACTGTAGAAAACAGTATGGGGCTCCTGAACAAATTAAAAATAGAACTACCATATGATCCAGCAATCTCGTTTCTGGGTATTCATCCAAAAGACTTGAAATCAGGATCTCAGAGGAACATTAACACATGCACAGTCATTGCAGCATTACTCATAATAGCCACAGTGTGGAAGCAAACTAGTTGTCTGTTGACAGATGAATGGATAAGGGGAAAATACACACACACACACACACACACACACACACAGTAAAATATTATTCAGCCTTTTAAAAAATGAAATTCTGGTATCTGAGACAACATAAATGAACCTTGAGGACCTTATGCTAAATGTTATAAACTAGTCACAGGACAATAAATACTGCATGATTTCATTAGCATGAGGTATCTAAAATAGTCAAGTTCACAGACTCAGAGTACAGCAGTGGCTGCCAGGGACCGAGTAGAGGGAGAAATGAGGACTTACTAATCAATGGGTGTGGAGTTTCAGTTAAGCAAAATGAGAAGCTCTAGAAACCTGCTGTACAACATTGTTCCCTTAGTCAACAACCACGTATTGTACACTTCAAAACTGAAGATGGGAGCTCTCATGTTAAGTGTTCTTACCACAATGAAAAATTTTAAAGGTGAGATAAAAGTACTTGGGATGTTGTAGGCTCTCCACACATTGCGTTATTCTTCTTACCCAGTGGCTTTTGACAAGAGGGTTTAGCTTTGTGAATATGAGGGTTTAGAGTAAAGTCGGACACACTGTGTCCAAAATCCACCTGATCCCTCAAGTTTATCATCTATAAAATCAAAATTAACTAGAATCATATAGGGCATATAGCATGTAGGCAGTTCCCAGCATATAGTAAGTGTATGTTAAACTTTTTAAAAATAGGATAGTATAAAGACCTCATCACTTGGTCATATTAGCTGGTCTTTCTTTGAAGTTGACAACCTCCAGACGGTCTCGACACATCTCTCTTGACTTACGCCGCTTTCCTCTTTTCCTTCTCCCCTTGTCTTCCATCTCATTTCTCTCTTCTGTTTCTTTCTTTTTTTTTTTTTATCCTCACCCAAGGACATTTTTTCTTCTCTTTTTTTTTCAGATAGAGTGGGAGAAAGAGTGAGGAAGAGAGAGAGAGAGAGAGAAACATCGACATGAAGGGAACACATCGAGTGGCTGCCACCCGCACAACCCAACCAGGGCCAGGGACAAACTGCAACCAAGGCAGTGCCCTTAGCGGGAACCGAACCCCAGTCTCTCTGGACCACAGGTCAAAGCTCTAACCACTGAGCCAAACTGGCCAGGGCTCTCTTCTGTTTCTTTTCTCTCTGATCTCTTTTTTATCAGCATACAAATTTATTTGTTTTCAAAATAATATGGTTCTATTTAGAATACTATAATAATTATCTAAATCAAATATCATCATTGGCTCTGAAACAGGTCTGAAGGTGTCATTCTTTTTTTTTTTTTTTTTTTTTTTTTTTATCCTCACCCGAGGATATTTTTCCATTTTTTGTACAGATAGAGTGGGAGGGAGAGAGAGAGAGAAACATCGACGTGAAGGGACACATCGAGTGGCTGCCACCCGCACGACCAACCAGGGCCGGGGACAAACTGCAACCGAAGTACGTGCCCTTAGCGGGAACCGAACCCCGGTCTCTCCAGACCGCAGGCCGACGCTCTAACCGCTGAGCCAAACTGGCCAGGGCGAAGGTGTCATTCTTTTGAAGTCAAAAATATGTACTAAGAATGTATGAGGAAGAAAAATATAAAAAACAAGTTTGCTGAGTATTGGGAATTGTTACAAGAGGGACACACTAAGATACTATAACAGAGTCCAAATTATAAAACATACAGCAAGGAGTTCTCTGGTTTTATCAGTTCCCCAGAAAATAGCTCAGTAACCTCAGGAATGTGAGAATACCACCAATTTGTTAATAGGACAAACTTCCTGAGGGACAGGTAGTTAAGTTACTACATTTCCTCTTTCTCTAACTCCTTTCCTCACACCGATTTCTTCTTTTACTTTAAGAACAATTTTATCCTGCTGAAACATATTTGGGTTTATTTGTAAAATGGTGTAAATAATATCCTGATAGAAGTAATCAATGATTTAGCTAAAGATGATCAAGGATCAAACTTTTGAAAAAGGTCAATCAGCTAGTTAACCGAGACCATGGGGGGCTTCCAGAAAAACAATTTTCAGATAATGTATGTTTGCTAAACAGATAAAAAATAAGCAATAAAGAAATGGGTGAAAACCCCATTTAACTGTGACCCAGACAATCAAAAGTAGACAGGTGACCTTTGATTCAACTCATTTACCTGTGGAGTGGGCTGTAAGGAGGCTCCGAGACAGAGTTTGGTTTCCAACAGTGTCCATGGCCAAAGTGCCAACTCGGAAGGTCTCCTCCTCTCGTAGGAACTGGAACACGGACGAGAAGTCTTTCTTTGAGTAGCCCTTTGCACACATCATCCTGTAGATCTGATGGGCTTGGCTGCCCAGGAGGATGGGGCTCTTTGTGCTGGTGGCAGAGTCTTGTGCTAACCCCAGATCCTTAGCCATGAGTGTTGTTCCAAATCCACCCTCATAGTTATTGGCTGAGGGAACTCCATTCATCACCCCAGGTACAGGATTGCAAGTGTCACTTGACCAACACCATCCTGAACTCATATTTAGGATTTTAGCTAATAGCTTTGGGTCAAGCCCTAACCTGATTCCAAGATTCATAGCTTCGGCAGTTCCAATCATGCTAATAGCTAACAGCATGTGGTTGCAGATCTTTGCAGCCTGTCCGGTCCCAACAGCGCCACAGTGCACCACACTGGAGCCCATGCGGCCCAGCAACTCTTGGGCAGCAGCGAATTCGTCTTCGACTCCTCCCACCATAAACGTGAAGCTCCCAGACCGGGCAGCTCCCACACCACCAGAAACTGGGGCATCCATGAAAACTGCTCCCATCTTCTCAACTTCTTTGGCCAACTCTTTTGAAACCGAAGGATCAATAGTACTGGAATCTATTAATAATGAGCCTTTCTTCACTTTTTTTACAGTTCCATTTGCTCCAGAATAAGCTCCTATTGCATTCAGACTGGTGGGCACCATTGCAATGATTCTGTCAGCTGTGTCAGCTACATCTGCTGGAGAAGACACTACCTGTTCACCTGTTTCTTGAAACTCTTTGCATGCATCAGGGAACACATCATAAATAACGAGTGGATAGCCATGTTTCATGAGATTTTTGCCCTTGGATTTCCCATGTTGCCTAGTCCAATGAATCCAACTGGAGTCTTAGAGGCCACTGACCTAGAAGACACCCCTGCAGGGCCGGCCGCTGCCGGAGGCCGGAGGTGGCTCCACGGAGCCAAAAGGAAGATGCCATGCTGCCCCCCCCCCACCTCCCTGGGGTGACCTCCGCTGCTCTAGCGCGCCCACTGCGAGTTTCTTTCTGATCTCTTATATGCTAGGCAACCAGTCTTTCAAATGCATAGATTAGTCCTCTCCTGCAAGAGAGAGAGACAGGGAGAGAGAGGGGGCGGGGAGAGAGAGAGAGAGAGAGAGAGAGGGAGAGAGAGAACAATGTCCCTGCTGGGGAAGGAAGTGGGCAGGTCTCTTTTAGGTAAGATGGCTGTGGAGTGAAGAAGGGCGACAAGCTCTGGTGACAGTAAGTGCCACACAACTCAGGATCTGAGGAACAATGGAGCAAAGATCATTTTTTTTCATCGACCATAAAATTGTCCTACTGCTGCCCCAGCACTCTCCTCCTGAACGCATTCGAAGTGCACTAAGAGCATCGGTTCTTGGCTTAACTGCCTTTCATTGTGATGAGTTGCACATGAACCCATTATACCTGGGTGTGTGTCAGGCTGCCGTCCAAGACATACTGGCTCTTTCTTTTAACCGGAAATTATTTACTTAACAAATATCTCCCAGAAATCACGTCAGCCAGCTACTAATACGTAAAACAAACAAATACAACTGCTTAGCAGAAGTTTTTATGGCTCCATAATAATATATGCATGCAAGTATCTCTCTAATAGACACGAGCAATGTCTAAATAATCTTTTAGAAATTAAATAAAAATATAGACAGAAAAATATACCAATTACAAGTACACAGCTTGACAAATTTTCACAAAGGGAACACACCCGTATGATCATCACCACAACCAAAAAATAGAACACTTCAAACATTTCAGAGTGCCCCCATCACCCCTTCTTTCAGCCACCACCCCTCCAAGGGTCACACTACGCAGAGGTCTATGATCATAGATTCATTTCCCTGTTTTTTATTTCATTAAAAAAATTAATTCGTCTCTAGTCTCTTGAGATTGATTTCTTCTTCTCAAAGTATGGCTGGCTACATGCAACAAAAGTCCATTTGTTTCTTTGATGTAGAGTAGTCCTCACCAGTAGATTTCAATTAACTTTATATATCAATCCTGGCATGCTTCTGAGTGCTAATAAGCAGGAGTTATGTATAGACCAGAGGCAAGATCAACAATTTTCTTGACTCTCAAACAGTTGTATTCATTCTTTTTCAGACAGGCCTCCACGTGGCAATAGCCGGAAACCAGCCACAAAATTATTATTATTATTATTATTATTATTATTATTATTTTATCCTCACCCGAGGACATTTTTTCATTTTTTGTTCAGATAAAGTGGGAGGGAGAGAGAGGGAGAGAGAGAGAGAAACGTCGACATGAAAGGGACACATCGAGTGGCTGCCACCCGCACGACCAACCAGGGCCGGGGACAAACTGCAACTGAGGCACGTGCCCTTAGCGGGACCTAACCCGGTCTCCCTGGACCGTAGGCCGACGCTCTAACCACTGAGCCAAACTGACCAGGGCCACGAAATTATTATTAGATTATGTATTTCTCATCTCCCTTTTCTAGGCTCAGCCCACCAGTCACCCTCCAGCACCTCTCCGACTTCACTCACGAATCCCCAAAGACATGAACAGCAGGGAGTCTGCAGTGTGATGTTTTCCTTCCTTATCAATCTGGAAGAAAAATGACACGGACAGAGAACGTTGGACACTTTTTCAACCACTGGCTAGCTGGGTCTTCACACTCAGGGTTCATGCTTTTATCTGAGGTGCCAGGGATGTCCATGCAATTACATATAAGAAGAAGCATTTGTTCCCACATAAAAAATAATAACTTGCCCTGGCCGGTTTGGCTCAGTGGTTAGAGCGTCAGCCTGCGGTCCGGAGAGACCCGGGTTCGGTTCCCCCTAAGGGCACGTACCTTGGTTGCAGTTTGTCACCGGCCCTGGTTGGTCATGCGGGTGGCAGCCACTCGATGTGTAGCTTTCATGTCGATGTGTCTCTCTCTCTCTCTCTCTCTCTCTCTCTCTCTTTCTCTCTCTCTCTCTCTCTCTCTCCCTCCTGCTCTATCTGAACAAAAAATGCGAAAATGTCCTCGGGTGAGGATAAAAAATAATAATAATAATAGCTTCATAGATGATAAACTTGAGGGATTTATGTAGGGTTTAGGGTTTTTCTACTATTCTAGTAGGAGGTGAAGATAAACGCAATTTGACTATAATGAACTAAAGGGAGGCTAAATATTCCATTGAAATAAATGGATGCTCAGAGACCATGTGTGTGGTTAACTCAGCCGTGGAAAAAGCCCTGGAGTATGGAAGACAGACAGACGCGCTAAAAATGGAAGCTGGAAAGCGTACCAGGCACGGCTGCTCCACAATGTCACTCTCGCCCATCCAAAAAGGGCATAAATGGAAGTATTTTGGAACTTAGCGCCACCGATATTTAAGTCCAATTTCCAGCAAGGTCAAGACGAATGGCGAGTTATTTGTTTTACTAACTTAGGTAGTCAGCGCCTTGGGCGGGTCCCGTGCCTTCTTCTCTATCTCCCTCCGCGCCAAGAACTCTGCTAGCCATCAACAAAACCATAATAGACCGAGCGTCCTCTCCAAAGGCCAATAAAAACACACACACTGAGCTAATGGAGACATTTACAGGCTGAGGAGTCCGGTTTCCTTTCTGAAAAGGCCACCAAAGCAGCCTGGCTAATTAGGTTTCAGCAAATGACACGGACTGACCGGAATGACCCACCTGTCTGGAGCTTTGTGTGTGTACCACGCCGGTTTTTATTTGTTTGTTTTTGTTTTTGTTCTTCTATTTTCGGAATTTCAAAAGGCTCACTCCGAGATCGAGCCTGTGTATTCCCAGTAATCTCAGGAAAATGGGAATAGTGCACTTAACACTGAAAAGAATAAATCTATTCACTTGGGACTGTTTGATCGTCCCACTCCCGCCCCTTTATCTCCCCTTTGGAGAAACCTAACAAAATAATTTTGTTCAAGGCCGCTCTGAAATGCGGTGACAATTCCAGGAATGAAACTGAGACGTTTCTTGCAGCCTTGTCTGTGACCCAGCCTGGAACTAGTCATAATTTTCCCAGTATTCTTAATATAAGTGTCCTTGTAATGGTCCAACTCAACCCTTGTTTGTGTTTCTGAAAATAATGCAAATTGATGGAGATGGGATCACAGACATGAGCCGCGGAACTAACACAGACGTGAAGACTAGCGGGTCTCTCCACGAACAAGGATTTCTCAGACTTCAACCAAGGTGCTTTGCACCCAGGGAAAAACCACATCTCATGAATGCTAATTGCTGAAAACTCATTAAGTATTAATGGAGTTTCAATTATAAATACTCAGAACACAAATGTTTCTGTGTCCATCATATTTTCTTCTACCAAAATACTAGTAGAAAATGATACCACTGCAAGTCATGGCCTTTATCCACCAAAAAAATAAATAAAATAAAACACACACAAAACCTAAATGACAATGTTCAAAGGAGCCAAAACACATCAGCAAAAACAAAGCAGAACATTGCAACGCAATACGGTGGAGCAGAGCGAGAATGGACCATGGAGGCAGACATACCTGCCTGCCTGCTCTAGTGTTGGCATTAGTTCTGTCGTTTTTTATCTCCTCATCTATAGAATTGGGATTAATATATTTATTCAGAGCTCTTTTCAATTGCAAATATCAAAAACTTAATCCAAACTCGCTTAAGCAAAAATTTAAAAAAATAATAATAATGACCAGTAAAAATAAAAGAGATATATTGACTATGTAGCAGAAAAGCCCAGGAGTCTTCAGCTTCTGGCACACCTGGATTCAGGTGCTTGATACTTGCAGGAAGTGATCTCTCCCATACACCTTCTTTCGACAGAAATAGCTTAATGTTCAAGTAAGCTTTCGCATAATGATTGTGCCCAGAACTTAAGAGTAATGTCTTCACAGCCCCAAGTCCAAGTCAATGAAAACTTCTCTTTGCCATCAGGTGAGGAATTCAGCTTCACTCCGATCAGTTCTATGTCCACACCTGGAAAGAATCCCAGGGCACATCAGAAGGCTCTTACCTGGGCAAAGTAAATAAATGGCTTCTAGAAACACCAAAGCAGCCATTGTTTCCTCTAATGCAGCTCAGAGTTGTTGTAAAAGCAAACGAGCAAAATGTATCCCAGGGCTTATAATTTCTATTAAGATAATAATAACATTATTCTTATAGGTAGATTTTTGACATCCAGAAAATATTTGCCTGAATTGACCCCAGTGAGAGCACACAAAACACTTAGTAGTGACATCGCCATGATGCACACACTATTCTCCCAAAGTTAGGCGAGGCTACTAGGGTGAGATTTTAGTCGAGTTGAAAGGGGCAGAAGACTGAGCCCAGCAAAGAACAGAAAGGTCATTCTAAGGTGAAGTAATAAACAAACCAACGACGATGCATTTTTCACATAAGAAACAATGTGTGGGTAAGATAATCCTTCCAACTAATAGGAAACGACATATAAAAAAGTCGATCTGTGGGAGACTTTTGCATGGCATCCATTCTGTTGCAGTCTGCTCTGCCATCTCCAGCCCCAGGGCGGGGTCTCTCTGCATACAGTGTCTGCATTCCTCTAGATAATTGTTTACTTCATTCTTTGCTTATCATTTGTCCCACCTGGGGTATTTACTGGAATTTGCTTCAGGTGGGATACTCATTAACTGTTTCATCTGTTTTTCCCCTATATGTTATGTGAACTCCCCCTGAATAAACGAGACTTGATCAGAGCCCTGTCTTGTCTCCATTTCTCGTGTCTCTTGTCCCTCCTCATCCTCACTTCCCCTCTAGAGTCCTCGTTGCTCGACCTGCGGGACGGGTCATCGATCTGTAAATATTAGTAGGAAGAGCTTGCATACCTACAGCACAAATAGCAGTTACAGAATTAAGTTGTATAAAATATCATCAGCAAAGAAAGATTTTTTAAGTACTTTTCAACACGGTTCTTTGAAAAGACACTCCCCTAGCTGTGCTTTCGGTGAGGTAGCCCTTGTGCACCCACA